AAGGAGGGACCAGTCTTGGAGAGGGACATCATGCTTGACAGGGTGGAGGGACAGTGCAAGATTGGAAGACCCTTGATGAGATGGATTGATTCAGTGACTCGGGTAATGGGGGTAGGTGTTGACACAGAATAGAGTAGAGTTTAGGGCTCTTGTATATAGGGTCACTATGAGTCACAAGGACACATAGCAACAACAAAAACAACAATTTGTACCTAACATGACACAACTAATGTGTGCAACTGAGAAAACACTAGCCCCATTTATATTTTATAATTTATTTCTGGATATTGCCATGGATTTAATTGTGTCCCGTCCCCACCCCTGCCGCATTGTTACTGCCACACGAGCACCAATATCGCAGGAGAGTGAAGAGGAAATGGGAGGACAGACCTGATGGGAGATGCCAGAGGGCCAAGAAAAGGGAATTGGGCTGTATGTTGTCAGGTGGGGTGAGGGTGGAAATATAACACATGCACCCCCAAGAGGTGGGCCCCTGGGACCATCACCTGATTTGATACCTGCATATTCTCCTGAGCTCCCTAAAGCTGAGCACCTAAATTAACAGACTAGAGAGAAGGATTGGCCATTCACTTCGGAAATAATGTTGTTGTTGTTGTTATGTGCCGTTTGAGTCGCTTGCAACTCAAAGCAACCCTATGTACAACAGCCCTAAAATCTGCTCTGTCCTATGCCAATCGCACTGTCTCTGACACTCCCATCCCGATTGCCCCAGTCATTGAATCAGTCCACCTCATAGAGGGCCTTCCCCTCCTGTGCTGTCCCTCCACCCTACCAAGCATGATGTCCCTCTCCAAAGACTGGTTTCTCTTTACAACATGTCCAAAGTATGTTAGACGGTACCTCAGAATCCTTGCCTCCAAGGAGCCGCCTGGTATGACCCTTTCTAGGATGAATCTGTTTTCCTAGCAGTCCATGGTACCCTCAATACTCTTCTTCAGCACCATAGCTCAAAGGCATCGATTCTCCTTCTGTCCTCCATAGTCATTGTCTAACTCTCTGATGCATAACAAGTGATCGCAAAGACCAAGGCCTGTATCAGACGCACTTTAGTCTCCAGAGAGACACCATTGCTCTTCAGTACTTTGGAGTGGTCCCTAACAGCAGACTTTCACATGGTAATACGTCTTTTAATTTCCTGGCTACTGGTGCCAAGAATGTTGACTGTGGAGCCAAGCAAACTAAAGCTGTTAACAGTCTTAATCTCTTCACCATTCATCCTGATGCTGCCAATTGGTCCAGTGGTGAGAATCTTTGTCTTCTTGACATTGAGCTTCAGTCCATATTTGATGCTGCAGTCCTTTGACCCTCTGCAGCAAATGCTTCAGGTCCTCCTCAGTGTCAGCAGGCAGGGTTGTCATATGCAGAACACAGATTGTTGATAGATCTTCCACCAATCTTGACCCCAATTTCTCCTTATAGAGCCCAGCCTCCCAGATAATCTGTTCTGCATACAGGTTGAAAAGGTATGGTGTGACAGGACGCCTCCCTGGCGTACACCCTTCCCAATTTTGAACCGTGCGGTGTTTTCTTGCTCTGTTCTGATGACTACCTCTTGG